GATTGGCTTTGCCTTGAGGGAGGACAACAATCTTGCCAAGGTTGATCTTGAGGCATCACAAGCTCTGGCAAAGGAGTTGCAAGAGGATTGCAGACCAAAGTCTGTGTGCGAGACAATAGCAGCATCGTCTGCATAGAGAAGCTCATGGACTCTGATGTGATTTACCTTCGACATGGCACGAAGACGAGTGAAGTTAAACAGCTTGCCTGAGCTTCTAGTGTGCAGGAGAATTCCAGATGGCCCGGGGTAAGCACGCACAAAAATACTGACACAAAGATGCCAAAGAGAGTTGGAGCAAGAACACACCCCTGTTTAACGCCAGTGATGATAGGTCTCTTGTCTAACCAGCTACCATTGTGTTGTGTAGTTGCGTTCATGTCTTGATGAAAAGCAGTTAAAATTGTGAGAAGATTGTCCAGACAGCCAAATCTTTGAAGACTTGCATTAAGCCCAGTCGTACTCACGCTGTCAAAGGCCTTTGACAGGTCAACAAAGACCACATACAGGGGACGCCGTTGCTCAGTACATTTCTCCTGTAGCTGCTTAAGGGTGAACACCATATCAACTGTTGAACGAAAACCACACTGGCTTTCTGGCAGAACACGGTAAGCCAGAGTCTGTAGGCGTGGAAAGAGTACCTTTGCAAACACCTTCCCTGCGAAGCTCAGAAGTGAGATTGCTCTGTAGTTGTTGCATTCTTGATGACTCCCTTTGTTCTTATAGAGCGTGATGATATTTGCATTTTTAAGTACACTTGGAATGCAATGCTTCTCCCAACACAGATAAATGATACTGTGAAGCTCTGATGTCAGCACATCCCCACCTGACTTAAAGACCTTAGGGGTAAGCCATCAGCACCTAGTGACTTGTTGTTGTGAAGGGTGCTCATAGCTTTCTTTCAGCTTTTTCTTTCATGCATATTATACAAATGTACCTGCTGTCCAAGTCATGAAGAACTTTGAGGGATGGTAATGACTCCAGAACTTCTTGTGTCACAACAGCATCACGAGAGTAGGTAGAACAATAATGTTCTGTCCATCTTTCTAGTTGATTGCTGGGATCAGTGATAAGTACACCATCTGTTGACAGTAGTTGGGCCGATTTTCAGGAGTGGGGCCAATGGCTTCCCTTATCCCACTGTGCAGGCCTCGGAGATCACCAGTATCTGCACATGACTGGATGTGGTCACTAAGCTTTGACCAGTAGCGACGAAGTGGTACACGATTGAGGCATTGAACATTGTGTTCACCAAAGGCTGAGATGGAACATTTCATAACATTTCTGTAGCTGCCTGTAAATGATGTTGATTTAGATGTTGATGTTTTGCTGAACTGACCACCAAGCAATTCCGGGAATTTCTCCACACATTTATCGTCTTTGGTGTTAGAGACATCAATGGCTGGTGTAGGCTTTTATTTGTCTGTGTGATACTTCTTGGTGCTGATTTTCAATCTACAGCGCACTAAGGCATGATCGTATTACAGTCAGCTGAATGGAGACTGCGGCAATGAATAACGTCTCGAAGTTGCTTCCTCCACACAATCTCGTGTTAACGCTGATGCTGTCTTCGTGAGCGGGGGTGCATCCATGTTGTTTTGGAGGCATATGAACCAGCAAAGAAGGTGTTACAGATGCATAGGTTGTACATGTATAACTTGTATGTTGCACGAAGTTTGAGTAGTCGCTGACCGTTTTCATTCATGCTGCCAATGTCGTGTTTGCTGATAACATTACTCCAGGAGTTCAAGTCACAGCCAATGCGTGCGTTGAAGTCTCCTGCTAGGTATCTATTTTCACTAGCAGGGATTTGAAGAACTACCGAGACATCAAATGCTGGTAAAATTAGTCTTTTGTTTTGAGTAGGAGCGTATGCAGATATGATGGCTATAAATCCACATTTAAAGAGAAAACAAGTCTTCATGAGATGAAGAGAAACATCAATTGATCCATAGTGGGGAGATCATTTTTCACAACTGTACCACAATTGTGCATAGCTAGGTCTGTTAGATTCAGGATAACCAAACCAAAATATAGTATAGCTATCCTCTGTAATTGAACCGCTATCACGGAGCCAGGTATCACTCAATGTTGCAATGTCCTTATTAAGACGTCCTTGGTTGGGAAGATTTTGGAGTGGTCTTGATGCTGAGGGAGTGTACATTCCAACAAGTGATGGTACGTGGGACAGTGGCAGGATGTCGACCCCGTCGCACCTGTCCAGGCACATGCCAGCCTTGCCAGGTAACGGAAGATCCAGAACTGCTGGACTCCCGATTCACCATATCTGAAACTTTAGTTGAACTTCTCATAACAGTTAGTGTGACGGCAATGCGCCCGGTCAAGGTCAAAGAAACTGGGAAAGAATACAGGGGCTTGTGTGCCCGGGACAAGTGCCCATCTCAGGACCTCGATGCATCCTGTTTTAAGGTGCCAGACACTCCCCATTCACACCTCTGCTATAGGTTTTTAACAGGGATTGGCGTGAGACGCCAAGTAGTAGGAGTTTGGTTAGGAGAGGCTAATTGAGATGCAGGCTGAATGGGATATTTGGTGGATAGAGAGTGGCTCAATTCTCCCTACCATCCTGACCATCCTAACCCTTTGATCCCCAATAGACAACCAATAATCAAATCTTTGAGAACTGTAACAGAGGGGAACTCAAATTTCCATCACAAAATATGGGAAACTTCAAGCCTTGATAAAAACAAATCCAAGTGCAGTAGAAGAAAAACAAAAGCTGTTTCTAAAACCTTGGTTTGTCTACTTTCCAAGGAAAATGATTGACGAGTAGAAAATGTTCCGGTACTTTGAAAATTCATGAGTTCGCAACTCTTATCCAGTAAAATTCCCAGCTTGGTAAAATATTATTTGTTAAGATTTTTTCAAGATTTTTTTAGCTTTTCCCCAATTTGCGGAAAAGCCTTTGTTTTTGTTAAGATTTTCCTTTTTTTACTTGTTTTTTTTTTCTTTTTGTTCTCTCCCAAATGCCATAGACTGTACATGTTTTATTCAGCCAAACACTTTTGGCATAAAGCAAAGTCCTATTCCCATAAAACTAGTGAACTTGTTCCCCAAAGAGTGATGTCATCTTTAACATGTATATCTAAAGTTCTATATCTAGATCACTGTAGGTATGTACATGTAGGTAGTCTGAAATTGAGGTGACATGATGACATCATCAAAAATGCATTTTTAAAACCACGTATAAGGCTAAGTCCGATCATCTTGAAACTTTGTGGGTAAGTAGATACTGTTAAGAGTATACAGAACCCTAAGTGACGGCATCACCCGATTAATTTTTAAAATTTTTACATTTCTTCTAAAAGCACAATATGACATAACATGCAACCTGATACACTTCAAACTAGGCACAGCCAAAGACCCAAAAATTTAGTTGGCCCTCGACAGGTGATGTCATCATGACGTCATAAATGGTCATGTGACATAATCTTAAAGGTGTATATTATATTATTTTATATCCAGAGAACTATACGTCAGATTGGGTTGGAACTTGGTATGTACATTGATGAGGATATGTTACAGACAATAATTTGAGTGACGTTCTGATGGAGAACTGCAAGAACAGCTAGCTTAATAAGTCGTGGAATAATATTCTTGCATATCATTTTCCTGACTGCATATGCATAAAAACAAAACATTTGTAAACAATTACTCACCTGATTTGTTATTAATTTTTTTTAACTTTTAAGTTTTCTTCTACAAGCAAAAGTTGACATAAAATGCAATCAGATTGACTTCAAACCAGGATCAGACAAAGATCCCAAGGTTAAGTTGGCCCTAAACAAGTGATGTCATGACATCACCTTAAAGATTTTGTATCGAGAGAAATGTAAGTTCAGTTGGGTTGGAATTTGGTATGTACAGGGCGTCCTGAAAAAAAATGGTGCATGTAAATCCCTCCATTTTTGCTCATTTACAACCTGCGGATGTTTACATCATCTTCAAGGTAATAGATTTAGCTTGAGAATACCGTTTGTTTCATTGAGATTGCTCTTGTAAATCCAAAGATATGTTTGAATAACGGCAAAGCCTAGAGACCCATTTTGTGCCACTTTCTGTGAAGCAGTTAAAATCAGTATAGTCCTAGTCTAAAACCAAATCACTTTACTGTTAGTGATTTTGACATATTTAAGCAGAGTGTGCAATATTTATTTATATTTAATTGAACTCTTTTATTGAAGTTTTAAAAAAGTGAACCTATCTGTAGTGTACTATTAAATTGTTTCAACATAAGAACCCTACATTATCCTGTGAATGGAATGTTTGTCTTACACCCATAGGGATAATCTTATCAAAAGAGCCATACTGGCATTGTCTGATCTTTAAAGCACTCGCTTCCTAAAAGTGGCACAGAATGGGTTTTTTTTGGCTTTGCGGTTATTCAAACATATCTCTGGATTTACAAAAGCAATCTTAATTAAACAAAAGGTATTCTCAAGCTAAATCTGTAACCTTGAAGATCGTGTAAACATTTGCAGTAACTTCCAGTTGTAAATTGGCGAAAATGGCGGGGTTTACATGCACCATTATTTTCAGGACACCCTGTACATAAAGAGGGGCGTGTTACAGACAAAATTGGGGTGACGTTGTGATGAAATCATTGTGGGTCACGAGACATTATCTTAAAGATGCCTATTTTAAATTCCTATACCTGGAAAACTTAGCCGTGGAAATTGTTCTTGCATATAATTTACCTGACTGCATAAGAATGAAAACGAAACATAAACTCATAAAAAAAAAAATGTGGAAAAGCCCTACATGTATGTTCTGTTCCTCGAACAGACCTAGACCTACTTTTTTGTTAAAGTGAATATAAAATCCTTGGTCCTGAGAGAATTGTGCAGTTTGATTTGCTAAATATAAAATTTGAATGTACATACACATTGTACATACATGTAAAACCATTGCGGTTAGGTCCAGCCGAGTTTGACTAATTGCAGTTAGCTGTATTGTTGATGTTATATCATTTGTTGTTACAGAACTTGGACAGGTCCAGCCTGGAGTCCTGCCCAGTCTCTGTCCAGCGTGTTAATCTCCATTCAGTCACTCATGAATGAGAATCCCTACCACAATGAACCTGGTTTTGAGCAGGTAAGCCATCACTTGAAAACTCACATTTTTGTAAGACAATTATTATACTGTACATGCAGCTACGTCCTTGGGTCAGGCAGTCTCCAGATGACAGGCAGAGCATACTGTCTGAAACATTGAGGAAACGTCGAGTTTTCCCCTGTTCTTTTCAGAACCTTGCAAACTTACAAAAGAGATAAATTTGTCACATGGTGCTGACATAAATCTTATCTTATTGCTACCTTCGCCATGCAAATCTTCAAATCTTTCAAGATGACCTATTAGCATTAAGGAGGCAAACTGCAAGGTGTCCCAAAAAATGATGATGTTGATTGTCGTGGCATACACGGCAACGATCTGGCCGACAGCAAGGTAGCAATTTGGATTTTTTTCTCATTACAGGTTTCGATGTCATGGGAGAGCTTGCAAGTAATAACAATCATCAATAATTGTTGATAATAGTTGAAAGAAAATCTTATTCACTTTTACATGTCTTCACAGTGAAAGTTGCATGTTTTGTATAACATGGGACCGATGACCTTCCTAAGATGGCATTGCAGTTGCCTACCACAGCATTTTTTTTTTCTTCTATTTTTGAACGTTCAAAACCCTCTGAAAAAGCTTTTACTTTGAGTTGCCTTTATGGACTACCAGTTTCATCCTGCAAATTGACTGTTCCCTGTCCCTACTTTATCAATACTGATTTGAGGCAGGAACCACTGTATCCTGCAAGTATTGGATTGTCGGACCACAAATAATTTTGAATTTAAATTAATTATTCCTTCCATGGCCAACTTTTTTTATTCAATGTCTCATTTAAAAGGGAGTAACATTTGTATAGCTAGAAAACTAAGAATTTAAAAAACAAATCTAGTATTCAGGATGCAACTCTAAAATAAATGTAGCACAGACAGTGCATCTTGAACATTTGAATACGTGTAAGGCTTCTGCTTTATGCATAAAAGTTTTACAGAAAAATAAATTACTTGCATTGTGGTGTTTGTATTTTTTGTGTTTTTTCATGTGTGATAGGAACGACAGCCAGGTGACTGTGAGCGTTACAATGACTGTATTCGCCATGAAACCATTAGAGTAGCTGTTTGTGACATGTTAGAAAGTGAAAATCCATCTATGCCAAAAACACTCAGGTTAGTACTTGCTACACTCAAATATTACCACTTGGAGAATACTCACAACACACTGATCATTCTTTGATTTTGCCATGACATACATACATTGTCTTCACGCCCAGGTTGGTATGTTTCAGTGCAATAAGCGAGTTTGGTATACCAACTGTGCATGTGCACATCAAGATTTGTCAATTTTTCTTTCGGGATCAAACTGCATCGTGTGCTTGCAAAAGCATATAGTTGAGTATGTATGGGGGACCGTGCACACCCCCCCCCCCAAACTAACTTTCACCAATTGTTTTGGGTGTCTTTTAGGGTCCTAAAACACATTTTGGATGTTAACAGTAAAAAAAATCCGATGCAAAGAAGATATCCAAGATGGCGACCAATATGGCCGCCAAAATTGGTAAAAACTGAAAAAAAAGACATATATCAGCCAAATAATGTGCTAAAAGCAAGCATAAATAAAATGGTAAGTTATATGTTTTAAACCCTCAAAAATTCATTTCTGGTATCCTTTTTTTGCTATTATGCTTCAAATTCAAGATGGCGGCCAATTTGGTGGCTAATATGGCCGCCATATTGGTAAAAAATGGAAAAAGGTCACATATCAGTCTTATAGTATGATAAAATCATAGATAAAATGGTAAAATATGATTTTGACCCTCTCAAATTCATTTCAGGTATCTCTTTTTTGCTATCATGCTTCAATTTCATGATGACGGCCAGGATGGTGGCCAATATGGCCGCCAAAATGGTAAACAAAAGTAAAAAAAAGTCATACATTAGCAATAAAATGAGATAAAAGTATCAATAAAATTGTTAGTTAGATTTTTTTACCTTTGCAAATTCATTTCTGGTATCTATTTCTTGCTATCATATTTTGCTTCAAATTCAAAATGGCGGCCAATATGGCGGCAAATATAGCGGCTTATGTGGCCGCCTTATTGGTACAAAAACATTTAAAAAGTCATATATCAGCCAAATAATGGGATAAAATCATAAGTGAAATTGTTAGTTATATGTTTTTTACCTTCACAAAATCATTTCTGGTATCCCATGGATGGCTGCAAATATGGCCTCCAAAAGCGGTCAAATGTGAGAAAAATATATATATTAGCCAAATAATATGATAAATGCATACATTTAAATATTAGATACATGCTCTTAACCCTTACAAATTCATTTCAAGCATTTTTTTTCGTTTTGCTACCATGAACCAAATTCAAGATGGCTACCAATATGACTGCCAAAAATTGTCAAATTAGAGAATAGCCATGTATTGGCTATAGATGTAAATGATATGTATGAGTACAAGTTGAGATTATGTACTTGAGACTTCATTGTATATCTGGATTTGCCTTACTTGCAAACATGTTCCAAATTCAAGATGGTGGTCTAAGTGACCGTAGTAAGGCCGGGCTTCCATCAACGGCCGGTTTAAGTATAGGCCAGACGGTAACTTGGCCGGTTAGTTTAATCTTCTTCAAACTGGTCAAGCAACCGGCCAGAGTCTGGCTGAGGCACCCACTAACTAGGGGATGTATTGTGTTCATGCCTGATTATTGCAGGTACGTCCCAGCAATGAGGGGTATTTAATCCGCTTAATCCTCCATGGTCAACAAAAGCCCTTAAGTGTGGAACTGCTATAGAAATTAACTGGCCACTTTCCTCAAGAGTCAGATTCAGGCGAATGGTCATGATAAATAATTAGGGGTTACTTTCTGCTTCTTCTTTTGGTAAATTTTACTTTCATAGAAACCAAACTGCTAGGTAATACGCTAAAACGAAATGTAATGAATAAGTATATGCCAGCCATCCATCTATGGAAAGATAGAGTCTGGAAACTTGTTTACACCATGTTTACACAATAGGCACTAATCCGCTTAGAACTCTTTGTTAACTTTGGAGGCTGACAGGCTGCATACCAGAAGGTTGTTAGTTGGGTGACTGCATGAGGGGCAAAAATACGGCTGAGGTTCAAAGGGCTGGTACAGGGCAGCGCAGTGGAGGAGGTCAGTTCATGGAGGTAGAATTAGATGTCCAGGAAATTCTACCTCCTAGAGAGCACATGGCTACATTATTTGGATCATAGGGCCTATATGACGTTTTTCTATTTTTTTACCAATAAGGCGGCCATATGGGCCGCCATATTGGCCACCATATTGGCCGCCATTTTGAATTTGAAGCATTATAGCAAAAAAAAAAAAATACCAAAAATGAATTTGCAAGGGTAAAAACATATAACAAACAATTTTATTGATGCTTGTATCACATTAGGCCAAACAAAAAAATACTTCTGCTTCCGATAACATGGCATTCGAAAATAGGGTAGGTAGGTAGGGATTTTTTTTTTTTTGGGCCAAATTTTTTTGTGTACGATCATATGGAGGCGTCTGCATGTAGTCAAGGGAAAAGGTATAAAGTGATGGTTTTGGGTGTTTTTTTTCTTCTCATTTTTCCAATAAGAAAATTAGGGTAAGGGCTGTCAAAATAGGGTAGGTAGGGAAACCGGAAGCAGAACTATTATTCTTTTGGCCTTATTTGTCTGATATATGCCTTTTTTTGATTTTTTACCAATAAGGCGGCCATATTGTCCGCCATATTGGCCACCATTTTGAATTTGAAACATGATAGCAAGAAATAGATACCAGAAATGAATTTGCAAGGGTAAAAAACATATAACTAACAATTTTATTGATGCCTTTATCTCATTTTATGGCTAATATATGACTTTTTTTTGACTTTTTTTACCATTTTGGCGGCCATATTGGCCACCATCCTGGCCATCATCATGAATTGGAAGCATGATAGCAAAAAAGAGATACCTGAAATGAATTTGAGAGGGTCAAAATCATGTTTTACCATTTTATTTATGATTTTATCATACTATTAGGCTGATATGTGACTTTTCCATTTTTTACCAATATGGCAGCCAAATTTGCCGCCATCTTGAATTTGAAGCATAATAGCAAAAAAAATTAACCCAAAAATGAATTTTTGAGGGTTTAAAACATATAACTAACCATTTTATGTATGTTTTTAGCACATTATTTGGCTGATATATGTCTTTTTTCCAGTTTTTACCTATTTTGGCGGCCATAGTGGCCGCCATCGTGGATATCTTCTTTGCATCAGATTTTTTTTACTGTTAACATCCAAAATGTGTTTTTAGGACCCTAAAAGGCCCCCTCCCCCCAAAAAAATTGGTGAAAGTTAGTTCGGGGAGGGGGGGGGGGGTGCACGGGGGGTCCCCCGTACATACTCCCCTAATAGCAGGTATCATGAAAATTGAAGAGATGATTGTGTTCTGAAATATAACATTTTGCAAAAAAAATTTGGACAGCACAGTATTTTTAGGTGTTTTGTGTGTCAAAACTTTTCTGCGAACAAAAGTTCCATCTCTTTTCGATTGCACAAAAAATTGCACAGAATGCAGATTTGGTTACCACGTCCCCCATAGCCTTGTGTGTATTTGTCTGCCGTGGTTATCATGGGGAAAAAAAACATTGTCAAATCTTGCTGTGCACCAGACTATTTTGGAATACCAAACTGGATTATTCAGGAGCTCTTTAACCCTAACCCCCTAGGCCCTTGTTGCTTACAACCATCCTCAATCCTCCAAAATCCTCCAAAATTTTCCAACTCCGCCTAAATTTTTCAAAATTGTCAGACAGTCCTGCCTCAAAATGCATTCATCCTCAATCCTCCAAAATCCTCCTCATCCCAAAACTTTGCACTCGTGTTTAAATGAAGGATAACCAACGCCAAATCCTTCAAAATCATCAGACAGTCCTGCCTCAAAGTGCATTCATCCTCAATCCTCCAAAATCCTCTTGTGCTTCAATCACCATTCATCCTCAATCCTCCAAAATCCTCATGTGCTTCAATCACCATTCATCCTCAATCCTCCAGAATCCTCATTTGATTCAATCACCATTCATCCTCAATCCTCTAGAATCCTCCAAAACCGCCAGGAGGATTTTGGAGGAGTGAGGTGGGTTAGGGTTATTCCGTCCTTGGCTGTGTAATAATACATGTACATGTAGTCCCCTAGGTCACTTCATCAGAACTTGTTTATTTGGACACCCTGTTTAAATTTTATGGTTGTCATATTTTTTTGGCTTTGAAAGAGGGTCGGTTGGTGGGGGGGGGGGGGGAATCAGGAAAAAAATCTATGTGGAATGCACATCGTTGTGTCAGTGCAAAAACGTAAATGCCAAGTTTGTGAAAATTCAACTTTTATGAATTTTTATTGAGCTTTATCTATACGTTATTACCAGAGAGTTTCATTAAAATATATTGCGTCAGGGGGAATTGAATTAAAGTCATAAGGTCGTATATCGATTACAAACCAGACAGACCATTTATATGCAAAATCTTGTACAGTCATGTTGATGACACCATTTAAGTTTATATTTGCATTTTCTTGAAACCAAATTATCAGAAAAACAAATTCAATTATATTTTCTAATTTTCGTCTCAAAACGTATGTTGATTTCATTCATTTAAAAGTTCTTTAACTTAAAATCACATCTTAAAACAAAGAGTGAAACGTACATGGTATTAAAAATGTTGCTGAATAAATTACCTTCCTGAGGTTACTTTATCTTTTAATTTAATGTAACTCAATAATTCAGCCGAGCCACTACAATATATTTATGAGTTTTTCTCAAAACAACTCAGAACTGAGTTATGATGTTGTTGCATTCACACAACAATATTATGGCCAAAAAAAATATGCAAATTGTTTAACTTATGAGTGTTTTTTATTCCAGCTTTTATATGAATAAGATGTAATCCATCTTCGGCAATTTCTGGCATATGTTTAAGAAAATGATTAAAATATAAGACCATCCTTGGCAACTTTGGCAATTGTGTAGTTACATGCTCCACTCCTAGATCCTATAAAGAGAACTAAAATCCAGTTCATTAGTTCATAAAATCAGTTACTAAACTCACCCAACTAGTTAGCAAAGTCGCAGATAGAGGAAAATATTGTGGGAAATATTTTGGTA